AGTAGTCTTCTGTCTTAGGTAAGTTGCCTGCTGCCCTCCATCCCCTTATGGTTTGAAATATATATGAATACATATGTATATGTGCAAGTGTGCCGCTTTGGCGGCAGACGGGTGTGTGGGCACTTGGCGCTGAACCACACAAACGTGGCCAACCTTGCATTTTCTATTATATTGCCTATCTATACTTTTTCGTTATGGATGGCTTGTGATGATTTTCTGGGGTCCTTTAAAACAATACACACACACACACACACACATGCAGTAACCCGTGTTCTGCAGCAGTCTGGGCCCTCGAAACAGAGCCCAGACGACGCAGGCCAAACTCGGCCTGCGCCAGGCAGTTTGACCACGCACTGCCTAGGAAAGTCAAAAGTCTAAGTCAACTGTGGAAGGTACCACGTCCAGGCCCTTGGTCGGATACATTCACTTGTTGTGCGCAGGTACCCGGACAGCATCAAGGCCACAGGGAGTTCGGCTTCAGACAAATCTGGGCCGCTATTTGTCTTGAGATCTCAACGGCCTAGGCAAGCAGCAACCGGGGTCCAGACCCCGCATCAACGCTACATAAGCCTGGACTACCGGGCAGGGAGGACATTCTGTCTTGCGTCTATGCTGACTTCATGCGTTGACTTCGACGCTAGTGCGACGCTGTGACACTGGCTGGACGCTGGCTCTATGCTGGCACTTGGACGGCCACGGCGACGCGCTGCTGGCTCGGCATGGTGGCTGGCTGGCAATTGTCTTCTGGGCATGCTGATGTGGCAGCTGCCACGCACCGCCGCTGATGTGGCTGCTGCCACATGTACTCTTGTGGATGTGGCGGGGCTACGTGACTGATATTGCTGTTCTGATTCATCGTCATTCGGAAGGAGATCAAGACTGTGGGCCGACTGTAGATACGTACCTGGTCTCTCGATGTCGACCTTGCTCCAGCTTGCTGATGATGACAGGTTGACGTGCCACGTGGCACATTGAGATAGAACTTCAGATTTGTGTTCGGACTATTGATTATTGAGGTGGCGATCGAGGAGGGAGCCCGAAGCAGAAGCGGGCATTGTTTGCTTCTCCTCTCAAGTCTATTCTCCCTTCTCTCTCTCTCGTCTGTGTATGTTTCCCCATCTCATTCTATCTGGACACGATTATGATTTTTGACAATCATCAGCAGGTTGATATCTATCTGGGCTTGCATTGTTGACAAGTGTCTTCACGATCTGGGTTCATTGCACACAGAGGGGGGTTCACCCTCCTGATGAGTCGGGGAAAGTCCAACAAAACAGTCCGGCACAGTCATGATTTTTTTTTGTGGACGTGTATAGCGAACATGACAACACACCCACACACACAAATGCACACAAAGTTCACAAACACACTTGATGGAGTCTCTTTCTTCATGTTGTTTGTGGTGCAAGTGTGCCGCCAAAGCGGCAGATGGGTGTGTGGGCACTTGGCGCTGAACCACACAAACGTGGCCAACCTTGCATTTTCTATTATATTGCCAATCTATACTTTTTCGTTATGGATGGCTTGTGATGATCTGTGAAGGGAATGAGAGAGAGAATCTGGGGTCCTTTAAAACAACACACACACACACACACACACACACACACACACACACACACACACACACACACACACACACACACACACACACACACACACAGAGGGGGGTTCACCCTCCTGATGAGTCGGGGAAAGTCCAACAAAACAGTCCGGCACAGTCATGATTTTTTTTTGTGGACATGTATAGCGAACATGACAACACACCCACACACACAAATGCACACAAAGTTCACAAACACACTTGATGGAGTCTCTTTCTTTATGTTGTTTGTGGTGATCATCTTGTGCTTTGTGAATCCTGCAGGTGATTGGTGAGGCTGAAGAGCGGTATTCCATGCGCTCAAGCTTTCAATCATTTTTCCAAAGTGATTATTGTACTGAAGTGGTAGGGTGGCATTACATTACAAGTTCGATAAGGACGCAGAAGATCGTGTACATTCCTGAGGGGCAACTGGACAAGGGGTAAGAATGCAACTGGACTATTTTCCCTTGAAAAGAAACAGGTCTTTGCCTTGTTCATGAATCATCAGAAAGGAGGTGTAATGAACCCAGATCGTGAGAACAGTTATCAATAATGCAAGTACAGATAGATGTCAACAGCTGATGAGAACCAATAATCAAGGTAGTGTCCAGACAGAATAAGACGAGATAATCATTCACAGACGAAGGAGAGAGGAGGGAGGCTAGACAAAGGAGAGGAAGTACAATGCCCACTCCTGCTTCGGGCTCCTTCCTCCAACGCCACTTTAGTAATCAACAGTCTGAACAAGTATCTGAAGTAATTTCAATGTGCCACGTGGCACTCCTAATTAGTCCCTTATCAGCGCTGGAGCAATGTCATCATGAAGACCACCAGGTGCGTATCACGATCTCTCCACAGTCCTGATCTTACTCTCCCTTGCAACCAGTCACCTCATGTAAGTAATGTGGACCATGCCACATCAGCAGACGAGACAGGTGGCATATGCCACATCATCAATGAAGACCAAGAACAGTGCCACGTAGACAGGAGCAGCGCCACATCATCATACCACGTAGATCATGGGCAGCGCCACATATACCAGAGGCAGCGCCACATCAGCATGCCATGTAGACCATAGGCAGCGCCACATAAACCAGAGGCAGCGCCACATCAGCATGCCATGTAGACCACANAGGCAGCGCCACATCAGCATGCCATGTAGACCATAGGCAGCGCCACATAAACCAGAGGCAGCGCCACATCAGCATGCCATGTAGACCACAGGCAGCTCCACATAAACCAGAGGCAGTGCCATGTCAGCATGCCACGTAGACCATAGGCAGCGCCACATAAACCAGAGGCAGCGCCATGTCAGCATGCCTGGCGCACAATGCCAGCGTCACCTCTCCCTCGTATCGCCGTCCGCTGTTCTGATGCACAGCCAGCGTCCAGCCAGCGTCGCGCTAGCATAATGCCAGCGTCAAGTCAAAGTCAAGCCAGCGTTGAACCAGCATAGCAAGACTGAATGCTGACCACCTCGAGGTCCCACTTTAAGTAGTGTTTGGCGAGGCTCTCTGGCCTCGAGTCCCCTCCCTTCAGTCGTCCAGATTGAGTCACAGCCGAAGGTCTGGATTGTACAGTTGCAGAATTCCCCCTTGGACTTGATGCTGTCTGGGTACCTGCATACAAACACGTGTGTGCGCTTGACCTGTGGCCTGGACTGGGTACCTTTGGACTTTGACTGTTGGGATCCCGACAGTTGACGAAAGTCAACTGTGGCACGCCCAGGCCCTGAATCCCTGTGTGGGGTCCCTTACCTCGTTTTTGGCCTGGCTGAGGGCGGCCAGGTCGGCCCTCAGATTTTCACGAGACATATGGCATGGGTTATTGCAGAGGGAAGGGAATCAAACGCGGGGCAGAGGGTTGGGGAGGAGGGGGGTAAAAAGGGGAAGGGGATAAGAATTCACGGTGTTGAACACACTCTGGTCGTGGCCGCATGAGGACTTGTTGGACTGAATGTGTCTTCCGCTCTCCAAATGCGGATGTCGTTACACTTACTTGCCAAAGCCGGCACTCGTTCGGTTCTCCTGCACATAGCTTACCTTGTGCTATCTTCCCTCGGGCCCAGACAATTTCCATTGCACGTGTTTCATGGAGGGTCCTAAGGCGGTGCCTGTCTACAAAATGGCCGTGCGTGAACCTGGCCTGGAAAGTCACCAAACACGGGCGCTTCTGTCGTCACTCTCAGCCTTGAAGTCTCCATCGTCTTCCCCAGAATGACGTGAAGGCAGAGGGAAACTCGGGCACTCGTCCCCACCTGGTCCTATCTGCCCAGGGCGTCGGACGTTCACCCATGATTGCAGTTGTCTCGTGGAGAGAGGGGTCCAAGGAAGGTCCCCGCCCTCTCCTCGCCAAATGATGCGTTGCGTTTGGGGGAAGAAAGGTATTGCCAGGCACTGGTGGCCAGTAGCTGCACCTCCTCCCCTTTCACCCTTGATCATCCTCTTTCAAACCCTATCCAGCCTATATTAGGGGTGCCTCTAAGGGGCACGTCCCACTGGTGCTATGTTTGAAATGCATGAACCAGGCACAAGCCTGGCTGCTATTACGGCCAGGTTTATTTATTCCAAGCATGAAGATAGCATGGGGCCTTTCCCAGCTAGTGTTGGCCTTTCAATGTCATTGTTACCAATAAGAGTTGAACCCCCAACCTCGGGACTGCAACTGCTTTGCCTTACCAACTGAGCGTGTCCCATTGACCAATGTCTGCATGAACCCAGCCGTAATAGCAGCCAGGTTTGTGGCCATGTCCTTTCTTCAATCTCTGAAATCACCATACCCATGTTGCAGCTGAAGGGTACACACATTTCTCAATTTATGTGCGTCATCCTTGCGCAGGGGCCGTGCTAATTACCCGTCTCTGTATCGTTCCAATTTCATCGTATGTCCCAAAGGATAACAGGGGCCCAATCCTAAGAATGGCCAGCTTCATGCTTTCTCTGTGCAAACATAGCCTTAGGAGGGCCAGTGGGGCCTGCCTAAACAAGGTCATGTGCTTGGCTCAGACCACCGGGCTCCACTGGTGCTATGTTTGTGCTGACTAAGCAGTAACATAACCATGATTATGACCAGGTTCATGCTTTCCAAACACAAACATAGCATCAGTGGGGCTTGACCCTTTGTCTTCGAACCAGGCCATGTGCTGGGCCCAAACCACCAGACCCCACTAGGCTATGTTTGTGCCAACAAAGCACATACATGACGATGATTTTGACCAGGTTCATGCTTTCCTAACATGAATGTAGGACCAGTGAGGCCTGACCCTTAGTCTACTAAACTAGGCCATGTGCTTGGATCAAACCACCAGGGGGGCCCACTGGTGCTATGTTCACCAGTGAGGCCTGACCCTAGTCTACTACACTACCGTCTTCAACCCAATTAATGCTCGGTCATTATGGCTGTATCCAGACAGCATGTTGACTCGAATACAGCTAAGTGACCGGACGTTCTATTCGGGTGAAGACGGTAGGCCTTGTGCTTGGCTCAAACTACCAGGCCCCACTGGTGCTATGTTCGTTCAAACAAAGCATGCACATGACTTATGACCAGGTTCGTGCTTTCCAACCACGAAAATAGCACCAGTGGGGTCTGACACTTAAACCACCAGTACTTTTGAGAAGTTTTGACTCTTCCCTTGTCGAGCCTCGAAATGCACCGCCCGGCGCCCGCCAAAAAAAAAACAACCGGTGTGAGCCTTCTTTTGGATGGCGCCGCTGCCAGCCATTTGCTCCAGTTGGCCAATCCCCGAAATTTGCAGCTGCATGCATGCCGTGTTGGAGAAAAATGTCCGGGGAACGTACTGGTGGTCTAAGTCTGCTAAATTCTGCCTGGCTCAAACCACCACTGCATCTGCCCAAGCGATGAATACCCGCCCACGGGTATCACCCAATCTCATGGACCAGAGTGATTAAGCCACCAGTACTTCCGGAAGTCGCAGCTCGTCAACAGCCAGCCAAAACAAAAAAGCCGCAACGTTTCCACTTGAATGAATCTATACCAGTGCCCCAGGCCCGTTCATCCCAGCACGTCGTGGCTTTTCTTTTCCGGCCGCAACCTCCCGAATTACTGGTGGTTTAAACTTTAAACTTTAAACCACCAGTGCTTTTCCTAGCTACGCTACCACCAGTGCTTTTTTTCAGTCTTCATGAATGAATTTGTCCTCGTGTGGCAGGCCCATACATTCCAGCACATTTAGGGGCACATCTCTTGGAAGTGCTGGTGGTTTAATCCACCAGTGGGTGACCCAACCTTCCACGCATGCCCCACTGCAGCCGCGGAAAGGCGCATACTGCCCATTCGGAAAAGGTCGGTGGAGCCAGGTAAATTGCGCACTGGAAAATGAGGCTTGGAGCCACTACCGACTTCACCCGAATAGAACGCCCGGTCATTATAGCTGTATTTGGCACAACTTTCAGCCGAGATACGGCCATAATTACCGGGCGATCTATTCGGGTGAAGACGGTAGTGGCTTAAACTGCCAGTACATCACCCAGACAAACTTGACAACCGAAAAGGAGTCATTCCGAAAAGTTCAGAGTCTTCAGAGGCTTGGGGGCGCCAGACCAAAATGGCTGGCGCCGCCAGCCAAAAGAAAAGAAAAAAGGCCGCACTGGCGTTTCAGCAAAGCTTGGCACAAAGAGGCTTGGATGTACTGGTGGCTTAAACCACCACTACCTTTGAGCCTCTTTCTCCCAACGGTCCCAACCCGAATTTTTGCGGCACATCGGCTTTTTGTCAAACCGGCGCAGACGCAAAATCAGTGGTTTTCGGTTGGCGCTGCCAGCCTTTTTGTTTCGGTAGGCTGAGGCCCCCAAAGGTGCAGTCGCTGAGAGTGCCCAAGTCACAAAGTGGTTAAAACTTAAAAGAGACGGACTGTAAATTGAAAACTATCCCCACACAAATGGGCCTTGCTCAGTTGGTACACCCATGAACTGTCGAAAGGGACCTCAGTTCGAATCCAGATGGAAGACTTTTTTTTGTTTTTTTTTCCAAAGCTAAGCTATATTCTTCTCTCAACTTACCTCTCAGTACCCCCTACCACTACTCCTAAGCCTGTACAGGGAACCCCGGGAAGCATAGTTACCTCTCACAATCAAGGGGATGCATGCTGTCCTTTGCCCTAATCGGTGGTGGTGAGGAAGTAGGATGGGGCCGTCGGCGGGGGGGGGACGGCTAACACAAAGACCAAACATTTTGCCAGTAGC